CAGATATTTTATAGGCAAGTGGCTTTTGGTTTTAGAGCAGATGAGTACTACCGATTGGTTAGTACCTTTTACAAGCAAATAAAATCATCTCCTGTTGGTAACAATTATCTGAAGAGCTGGTCAGTCCTTCGAACTCAGAGAAATTTAGGTTCATTTCACTGAGAAAGCACTACAGTAGAGTAGATGCAGAGAAGAGAAGAATTAAAGGAAAACGGGGCAAAACCCCACAATAGACTCACTTCTCATTTTGCACCATAACTGTTCAGCAAAATCCAGGTCTCCTCGCTCACTGAAGACTGATTTTATTGAACCATCCACTGCAGCAGTGTCACATTCAATTTTCTGAAAGAGTTTGTTTGTCTTAAATAAAAAAAGATGCCCAAGATTCAAAGACCTTACGAATCCGAATTTTCTCCCAAGATCAAAATTGGGTACATCACTAATTCTTCCCTTTTTCCAGGGAAACTACCGCATAGAAGCTCCCAGTGCAAAGTAATTTGGAAGCATATTTTTATTTAAAAGTGAGACTAACTCTTTTCAGAATCATCTCACTGGATAATTGCCAGTAGTGAAGCCTACTATCAGAAAGACTTTTGATCATAGCCAAGTAAAGCTCAACCAAACAGTCCAGTAAAAACCAGCTGCTTCTCTCAAGATGGTCCTTTTTGCCTTAAAATGCACAAAGCAATGGTAAACAGCAAAACCACTAATTTAGCAAAACAGCAAGCACTAATTTAGAATATGACCTACACTATACTGAGCCCAGAGATGATTAAAACACTGCATGTATATCCAGCAGTGCCCTGGGAGGCCAAAATTAGTACCTACATAGATTCTCAGAACAGAGAACTATTTTTCCTGTTATCCTGAATATCTCTGGTTTAGCTGATACAGAAATCATTCTATTTTTAGCTTATCAACAAAATGCAACTTCCCTCTCAATAGCAAAAAGACCCAAATCTTTCCTTACAGGCTGCAAGGGAAAAAAAAATACCTTAATATAACTCAAGACATTTTTATAATTTTAATTGGTTCATTGCTTTAGAACATCATAAACCTCTAGATAAAAAGGATAGATATCCAATTGATACTATTAAATTGGCCCAAAGTCATAAAATTAGGCAAGAAAAGCAAATTAATGATAGAATGTAATGGTGCAAAGGTCAGAGTTCAGAGATCATGAGACTGAGAGCTTTAGGAGATGACAGACAATGGTTAAGACAAGGGACTGCAATTGCAGTTGATATAATACAGTTCAGTTTGCAAGCTTTTTCTACTGAAAAAGGAAGGCAATGAAGCAAATCAAAATAGCTCCACACCACTAATTTATAAAAAAAATAAGTATAATTTAGAATAAGAAAAAGAGGTTTTCTGAAGGTAAAAATAACAGTGGACTTCAATATATTAGAGGACAGCTATGGAGTTCTTAATTTTGCCCTTAACGCCTTCGTCCATTATTTTTTACACAGCAGAAACTGAAAGAAAGAGATCGATCTTTACATCTTTATGCCTATGTATTTACATATGTACATAAATACAATAAAAGATGCAGTCAAAATTTGAAATAACTAGAGTTATAAGGGGAAGAAAATAAGGCAACTGGTAAGAAATTGCATATACCTCTGTTTCGTTCTTGTTTTCAGATGTACAAAATCTATCCAGCTTGTTCTTTAAGTCTAGTGGACAAAAAAAATAAATTTTACCACTGTGAAAAAAAAAAATAATCATCAAACCAATCATATAAATCCATGGGCACCTCATAATTAACAAATACACCAACAGGATGGCTTACAGACAAAATTTATCCATTTTAAAATTGAGTGGGGTAAAGATATAGTCTGAAAAGATGACGTCTTAATTTTTTTTTATTATAAGCTACAGATTTTTGCCATATACCTTTACTACATTCTGTTATCTAAATATTAACTTGTGAAGTTGCAGTGTGGAAGCAGTAAGGGGGAGGAGGAGGTCTAATAAGTGTCTCTGGTTTTCTTCCACATGTATTTATCAGAAAGAGTTTTTGTCTCTTATCTTTTGTCCAAGTTTTACCTACATACTAAAAAAAAAAAATAAAAAAAATCACAGTTGCATTTGGAAATGTCTTGGTGCATTCTGCCATCTGATTCTCTCTTTAGATCTGTTTTCTAGTGTCTTAAACTTCTGACAAGACACGTATCGGACACAACAGTTTTCAGAAGTAATCAGTAATTTTGAATGCTTCACTTTAAGATGACATGGAAGTATTTTTTCTCACCAAAGGGCTACCTAGCACATTAAAAGCTCACGTACGTATCAGGTAACTTGACACATTCAGCTCTCAAATACTTTTAAAAACAATTGTGCAGACGTTTTTAGTGTAGAAATTAACGTGTCTAATTCATATCAATTAACTTGACACATCCAGCTCTCAAATACTTTTAAAAAATAATTGTGCAGGTTTTTTTAGTGTAGAAATTAACGTGTCTAATTCTAACACTTTAAAAGTTCTATGTGGAATTTCCTTTTATTTCTGTGAAATGTGACGTCCCTCTTAATTCTATGTGCAATTTCTTTTTATTTCTGTGAAATGTGACGTCCCTCTTTCCCCACGTAACAAACAGCAATTACCAGTCAGAAGTTCCTGGACCAGTTCAACAGCTGATTTGGACTCTAAGGGCTCAGGCCACTCCATCACACCCATCTTCAAACCTTCCGCCAAAGCCTAAAGGTGGCACGAAAATCAAAACAACACAAATCAGTTCTTGTTTGAGGTTCTGTTGTGTGTCATACTTCACAATGCAATTAACTTTTCCAAGAATCTGTGCAGCTAACCATGACTTTAGAAACTTCTTGAATTTCCAGGCTTTGGTGTTCATGAGTTATCCTCTTTGTGGCTGGAGATTCCTAAAACTGAACTCAAACTTTATTCTAAAATAAAAGCTTGAAGTTATTTTTGAAACATCTGATGAAGTTTTAAATAAAGTAAGTTATAAACACATAAAATCACCATTCCATGTAAATCTGAAATTGGAATTTCTCACTTATACTTACAAGGAGAAACTGCAGTTCTCTGTAGAGCTGATACACAGGACTTCCAGGGTCCCCTGACTCCAGTGTAATATTCTGAAAGTTCCAGAAGTTCATGTCAGTTTCAAACTTTAGAAATAAAGTGTCATAAAACGTTCATTAGTGAAATGCATAGTAGCATAATTTATAATTTAGATTATTGTCTCAGTTTGAGGTAAAACAGAACCAACTTTCTGTTCCCTGCCAAAGCCTAAAGGCAGCATGAAAATCAAAACAACACAAATCAGTTCACGTTTGAGGTTCTGTTGTGTGTCATACTTCAAAATGCAATTAACTTCTCCAAGAATCTGTGCAGCTAACCATGACTTTAGAAACTTCTTGAATTTCCAGGCTTTGGTGTTCATGAGTTATCCTCTTTGTGACTGGAGATTCCTAAAACTGAACTCAAACTTTATTCTAAAATAAAAGCTTGAAGTTATTTTTGAAACATCTGATGAAGTTTTAAATAAAGTAAGTTATAAACACATAAAATCACCATTCCATGTAAATCTCAAATTGGAATTTCTCACTTATACTTACAAGGAGAAACTGCAGTTCTCTGTAGAGCTGATACACAGGACTTCCAGGGTCCCCTGACTCCAGTGTAATATTCTGAAAGTTCCAGAAGTTCATGTCAGTTTCAAACTTTAGAAATAAAGTGTCATAAAACGTTCATTAGTGAAATGCATAGTAGCATAATTTATAATTTAGATTATTGTCTCAGTTTGAGGTAAAACAGAACCAACTTTCTGTTCAGTAATTGTACATCTTTACCTCTTCTAACTCTCTGATATCAAACAACATGTTGTGGGGAAACTGCTCAGAGTGATAAGACCCTTCATGTCAAGGAAGGGTGTGCAGAAAAGCTCTTGCTTGTACTTATTGCAATAACAACCGAGGTCAGTCAATTTCATTATTTGCCCCACTGGAAATGGAAAAAGCGTAGAGGGGTCCCACCTGTGGGGAGGAGGGGACAGAAGAGGTGACCCAAACCTGACCAACAGGGGTACTCCATCCCATCTGCCCCCAGCTCAGTATAAAAGCTGAGGGATCAAAGGGTCAGCGCTCACCACTCATGATGTAAATCATGAAGACAGTTTGGGTTTGTTTGCTTTTTCTTTCTTGACTTACCAGAGTGGCAGCTGAAGTTAGTGGGGGTGTCTCCAGACTCTTATTTACAGTGTTCCACGTCATATCAACATACACAGTGCTTTTGGGTTCTACAATCGTGTCCTCCGCTCACCACTCACGATGTAAACTATGAAGACAGTTTGGGTTTGTTTGCTTTTTCTTTCTTGACTTACCAGAGTGGCAGCTGAAGTTAGTGGGGGTGTCTCCAGACTCTTATTTACAGTGTTCCACGTCATATCAACATACACAGTGCTTTTGGGTTCTACAATCGTGTCCTCCATCGCAGCAGCTCTACTAAGTTTATACTGAGCAGATCCTTTTGTCACCACCTTGAATGAAAACATTAAAAAAAATAAAATTAAAAAACACCGCTGATTGTTTTGTACACGTGCAAAATAACTGTAAAAGCATCTCACACACACAAAAAAGGGCTAATATTAGACACACGCATTACAATATGGAGCACCCAAATGTTACTTTAAAAGTGATTATTATAGTATAGAGAAACTAAGTTGCTAAACAGAATCTATAAAGCTTCCCAAATCTAGTATTACAAATCCAAAACCAGAGGTTTTAAAACTTAGACTAGAGGCATGACAGATTGCAAAAACCTACAACGGATGAATGATGCATCATTTTGTGTGTCATTTTGAGCTCTTCCAGATTTGCAAAACTGGTTTTATCAGCTGTAGGACCTAGGAAAAAAAAAAACTAAGAATCACAAAAAACCCCAACATTTGACAACCAAAACATTCCCACATTTTTAAGCCTCATTCGATTTTAGGAGGAACCTCATAACCTTACCATCACATGTGACCATATACAAATTGATCCCTGTGATTTTGTTCCCAGCTTTGAGAGGCTCAGCTCCGAGCCAATAAGTATGTTCAGGATCAGAACCATCACACCTTATCCAGATGGGAGGAAGCACAACCAGTTCAGGTATCTTCAAGTGGGTCATGTTTGGATTTTGTGCCAACGCATATAAGGAAATCAACTGCCTAGAAACATGAACAGGTTAAAAAGTAAGTTGCCAGCAAGCACAGCTAAATCTACCTTACATAAAACCCATCTCCTACCTACCATTCCCCATGAGCAGACATCGAATCATTTTACAAAAAGAATACAGTATTACAATCCTCTTTTTACAGGTAGAACAATGAAGTCACAAGAGAAGAAGTAAGATTTCATAACTGAGAATATATTTAATACAATATTTTAATTTAGACTAAAGATTCCTTAAAAGGATAAGTTAGTACTTAGATAAGTAAGCAAATCAGTCACCATGTTTTGGTACTGTGTCTTGGTACCACACCAGAGACCCAAAGCAGATACTGACTTATTTGTTTATTTTAACAGAAGCCTTACAAAAACAAACACTGAAGTCTTAAGAAGCTTTCTTTGCTCACCTGCACCCAGCCAGTCCCATTAACCTCACGGGACAGCTCACAAGTGCTTTTCCAGTACCTTGACTTTAGCTACTTTGCTATGAATACTTTTAGCCAGGCAAGGCCATTGTGCAGGATGAAAACCTTTGGTACTTACTTTGCTCTCCTGTAAGAGAGTGCCACTGGTCCAGAACTCTCCTTTGGTAAAAGCTCAGAGGCACAAATAGCATCATCTATTTCTGATTCTTCCATTGAGCCATTTTCTTCATTCTGTCTCTTTAAGAGAAACGCATGGGTAAGTCAAAAAATACAAGGTATGTGAAAATATTTGATGGGAATTCAAAACTGCAGATTACATTTTAAAAATAAACAATTGACATACGCACTTACTGCTTTCTGCAAAATATACATCCTATTGCTTCCATTCCAAAATCTTTCAATGGGACTTTTGCAACTGCCATCAATCAAACAGATCTCTACATCAGTCTGAAAGAAAAAATAAAAGATTAAAACTTTTTAATACACCACATATAAAATACGCATTGCAGCAATTTTTTTATATTAGAAATTGCAAAATTAACTAATTCTGCAAACTGTTTTCCAACCCTATGAATCTAAGACTTTCTTATTTCAGAAGAACGCGGTGCATGCCGTAGGTTGAACCAAATCAACTATGAAAACACAACAACTTTCAATTAACCTACATAGAAAATTTAATTTCTAACAGATTTATTCTGAAGTTTGGTTTGATGAACAAAA